GCTGGAGCCCAGCCGGCCGGTGAGACCCGTGCTGCGCAAGGTGGACCCAGGAAAGGCCAGGGTGGCGGGGGGAGCAGCCAGCCCCGCTGGGCTGAGAGACAGGCGAGGGCAACGGGAGAGGCGAGGGCTGCTGAGACCCCCAGCAGAGGGGGCGCTCTTGGCCAGGGGCTCCCCTCGCCCAGGACAGTGGCACAGGGGTTACCTGGCCCAGTCTCCATGAAAGAAACACCCAACTAGCTGTGCAACACTGGCAGTGAAGTTGCCAAACTGTCAAATATCACTAACGTGCACCTGGTTCTGTCAAGGGCCGTTACCGTATCTCTCTCTTCCCCTGGGTTGTTCCTTTCCTTTCCCCTCTTGTACATAAACCCATCATTGACCCCTTTGCGTGCACCTGCAGCACAGCTGAATTTTGAGCGCAGGTGAGGCCCCCGGACAGGCGGCCCAGTGCCCACAGGGTGCCCCGAAACAGTCCCTCCTCCCTCCCCACCTCCCCACTGCTGCCCGCTGGCCTGCCTGCACCTCCCCTCGCCACCCCCGTGTCTCCCCGCTGTGGCCTCTGCCTCCTCCTGCCTCTGGCCTTCGTTTCTCCTCATGGACTCCTGGATGAAACAGCCTTCCCATCCACACGCCCCCCACCTGCCCCCACCCCGCCCCCAGCCCAGCCGCAGGCCCTGGGCAGCACTGACCCAGGTTTGTGAATTCGGCTCAGTTTATTATTCCTGAATCCTTTCCCAATTCTTAGTCTAGTTCATGCATTTTTAAACATTTTCCGAAGCAGGCGTTTGGAAGAAACCCACAACTACCACAGAATGACTTGAGCAAGAATCAACAACGAAGTGGGAGGGGAGACCAGGAGCGGAGGGAACAGAACCAGGGGCGGCGGGGGGAGCCCGGAGTTCACGCAAGTTAGTGGACTTAACTATCAAATAAAAAAGCATATTCATCTCCGGTTGTGGGGAAAATACGACTGAAGTGTAGAAAAAAATAAAAGGCTTAATGAAGAAATCGTTTTCATAACAATAAACTCTTTCTCTCCGTCCCACAGAGAAATAAAGCAGGCCCTTCCTCAAAGGAGAGTTTCGACCTGCAAGAACAAAGCCTTGCAATGAAACCGAAAGCCGTGGGCCCCTCGGCGGCGGGGTCCCCGCATCAGACGATCCCCTGGACGGGCGCCCACAGGGGCACCACGGGGCTCCCCTTCTGCTGTCTCGACGTGATCTAGTTTCAGGAAAGCCACCCTCTCCTCCCTGCTCTCGTTGCCACTTAGCCCCGAGGCGGACACTTGGGGGCCCCGCAGTGTCCGGGGTGGCTCCGGAGGGCCCCCCGACAGCTGCATTGTGTGAAACGGACTCTCGGGAGCGTCCGCCCCCCAGTTGCTGGAGCAGAGTCTCGCCTCCAGCGTCCTGCCTGACAGCTCCTTGATCTCCCCGGAATCCCATTATCCCCAGTGACCCCTGCCCTGCCCACTGGCGTCTCCCCTGCGGCGTCCTTGAGCTCCTCCCTTGGGGCCTCTCAAAGCTGTTAGAGGCCGCACAGCCGAGTTGGAAACTGACCACACTGCAGGCGGCTTTTTCTCTGAACTTCCCCTGAAGTCCTCTGAGCCCTGAAAAGCAGCCGCCCCGGGGAGGGCTTCCCTCCCCTGCACGGTGGCCTCACTGGCCAGTAAGGCCCAAGGGAGTGGCCTGGGCAGCTGCCTGGCTCCTAGCTGCCTTGCCAAGGTGAATGCAGGGTCTGCCTGTCCCCAGTTCTCCATCCAGGTCTGCAGCTTCCACTGGCAACACCACCAGGAGCTCCAGCCATCGGGAAGGGTCCAGTGTCGGCTGATGACAGGACTCGCTCCTGGAGCCGGCCGGCCAGCTGGGGTCACCACAGCCGCCATGCGGCCAAATCGGTCAGGAAGCACCTGAACTCGGCCAGCCACTGAAGGCCGGGAGAAAGGACTGGGGAGTGGGCCGCCGAGGGCGAGAGAGGCCAGCCAGACATCCGGCGGCCCCAGCGGACAGAGGGCAGCTGGGAAGGGGCAGGGGCCGAGGTCAGTCCTGGCCGGCTCTGCGCTGGGAAGAGTTGAGGCTCCATCCAGTCCGGCTCCCCGCACCCTCCCTGGGTCCCTGCACTCTGCCTGCGGTTCTGCCTCGCCTCGAGAGTTCGAGCGAGACGTCGTTGACTCAAAAACGTCCACCACTGGTTAAAATGGCCACTGGAAGCCGACTGACCGATCAGTCTCCCCTGGCTGCGGGCCTCTTTCT